CCCCCCAAAGTATCCGAGGTGCGTTTTCGGCCATTCTCCAAGGCTGAGCCAATAGCGGTAGCTCGGCACTTCGTTTGCTTAGTATCGTCCAGGGCATGAACACAGCTCTACTGTGTACCAAAGGACGGATGTACCTGATCTTATCAAAAGAAGCCAAATCCTGCCTTGGCCATCTTGTCTATAAAACCTGGCCCGATGGCAACACCACAATTGTTCTCTCGAATGTCAACACTGCTCCGTATGTTGTGTCATCTTGGCTATTGCCCTTCGCGGTAGACTTTGGCATGAATTCAGCCGCGGAATCCTGTTCCTTGTGTCCCGAGATGCCTTTGTGTCAGCCAGACCAAGTATCCAATAAGACTGAGGGAGGTCTCTCTCTCTGTCTGTTTCTTTGAGCGTGAAATTTATTTGGGCGACCATTGAGGGACAACTACAAGAGCAGGAAAAGTGGAAACAGGGTAACATGGCCCAATTATCATCACTGTTATTGAAATCAACAATGAAGACCCCATATGAAACCCACCACACGAGCAGGTCCAGCACTAAGGACAAAGAGCGAAGGTGATGGACGGGGGAAAGAGAGAGCGAGTGTGAGAGATAATTTCATGTCCAACCGAAGAGATAGGGAATGATGTCACCGTGGGGCAACTGTTGGCCTTCTTTCCGCCAACAAAGGGTCATCGTGAACCTCCAACCATGGGTTTCTCCTCGCTTTCAGACCCAAGGATTGCCACAGCACGAGGCCCAACCAGTTGGGGGGTGGTTTTGTGAGGCCTGATGAGCGAATCGGACCTAGGTGGGTAGTAGGACCATGTAACCGGGTTCGGTTCCGTCATTCTATCCTTTTTCGAATGTCGAGCTGGCCGGAGGTGAAGGATAGAAGACCGTAGTAGATAGAGTGGAGGCTAAAATAGCTGCTACATCGGGAGTAGGGAGTCTTGGAGTCTCCAGAGTGAGGAGAAACCGGGGGAAAAAGCGCAGTAGTGCAAGATGTGCCATCGGGCGGGATTGAAATTCATGGGCTAATGACCGGGCACGACGGCTCTACTTCCTTTTCCGACTCTCCGTGACGAATATATATTGTTCAGATTATCTTGATATATTCCCTGTAGTACTACCTTTAGATGGGCCTTGGGCTCGCCGAAAAAAAAAAAAAAAAAAAAAAAAAAAAAAAAGATTGTGAGGCATTTGACCCTGTAGGTCCTACAATATACTAAATATTATGGTTTTCTATATGATTCTATACAGTAAGGAGATGCTCGCATAAGGTCGTGTAATATTCAGAAGTATTTCTAGACGTTCAGGATTTACTCGGGGCACAATGCCATCACCAGGCACAATAACTATCTAGTTAGTTAAATCGCTGTATCAATCCACCAAGAGTTGAGTATCCCTCGAAGTCACCTGCCCAACACAGTTTAACGATGGAGTAAGAGAAAATGGAGTCCCCTCACTAACTACGGAGTAAAGGTGGAGATTGCTAGCCTGCGTGCCTCCAATTCCCAACTAACCCACTAGATCAGAATCTTGCCTAATTACAGCCAGACCATGATTGTAGAGAACCCACCTGATTCCCACTTAATCGCGACACTATCATCCCAGTTTGGCCCCTGCTGCTCCGTAGGAAAAGGGTAAGAAGGAATGGTGGGTTTGGGTCAAACAGACGACCACGCTATCTTTTTAGCGTCCAAGACGGCGTTTTCGCTGTGTCGGGCCAGACAGAGTTGAGGGGAGTCGAGTTGTATATACTATTTTCGGGCAATGGGCTAGAAAAGTGAATGGATCCTTGATCCTTGTATCTACATAGTATTATCTCAACGTGGTAGTCTGGTTACATTATTGTTCATTACTCACCCGCTAGAGTTATAGTTAAGTTGGCTGACAGTGTTTATCCATCATCTTCTTTATTTGTGGCTCTGATTGACCACCAACGACTAGTCAGATAATCACCGTGATCGTGGTTCTGGACTCTTTAGTCCTTTGCTGCTCTTCCCTTCCTACCTTTCCTGTCTTACTGCTAGATCAACTCCTTTGTTTCTTTTCGCCGAGAAAGTATGTTGATCGTCTGATCCGGGATTTACTTCGTCGAGCCACAGCTAGTGGCAATAACTTTCGTGTGGCAGTCGCAAGGTGTCAGGTGGTTAGAGATGATCAGGGCGTGCAAAGGTCATGCTCATGGAAATATCCTCGCGACAGATTCGTAGCGCAGAAGTGGCCGCTCTTTTGGAGACATGTTCGAGCGGAATACGAGTCTTGCCAGCAAACACCTTGGGAACTCTTAGTTGGCAGTATGACATACGAGAGGAGGGAAGGTGTTCCCGATGCCGTGAAAGTTATGATATCCTGGTCTTACTCCATTCGTTGCAAAAGATCTTTGGCTAATGCAGGCGATCCTGATGAATGACGCGGGTCCCTCAGCGACGCAAGGAGTCCATCCCATCACAAGGTCCGTCACTCTCACTTCGATTTTCCATATCAAGAAGCAGAACGTGTTTTACATTGCCCCATCTATGATGCGTTAAGGATAAAAAAAAACAAACACCGCAACAGTTTTCCGCAGATGATGCTTCCATGCATGCCTAGCAGTCATGTCCATCGGCCAAAGGTTGCCGTCGAGATAAGAGACGAAAAGAAAAGTAGAACAACAGGGGAGGGGAAACAAGACAGGGATACATTCATAGATGAAGGCACAGACAAAATCGAAATGATATCTCGACTGGACCGAAGATGGATCTATACAAAACTTGGTTCCGTGGCGCCAAACGACTGCCTCCCTGGACCAGCAAACCGCATTCGTGGGGGATAACCGATGTGATACACCATCGTCCAAACATGCACATAGAGAGAGAAGAGCTACTAAAACAAATAGTGAAAAAGGTATAAGCCGAGGGCGGATGCAGAGCAATAGCTTCTGTCCTCCCACTTTCAGGTGGGCCCCATTAGCCCCAGCTGCACGTCAGAGTGTGCTTAGAAGGGAGGAGGGACCATGTCCTCAGGGCTCATCTTCTCTTGCTGCTCCATCAGTTCCTCGCCCGCGATCTCAAGGGAAACAGCAAGACCGAGCTTGGCCGTTTGCTAAAGAGAGAAAAGGAAAATGTTAGTAATTAATCTACCACTTGCAATTGAAGAGCATTGCAGGAAGTGAAGCTCACCTTGGCCTGATCGATCTCACCGGCAAAAGTAAGAGCGATGGGCATAGCTATCCGCTTCTCCAGAAGGCAGCTAACCTTTCCGGTGCTGTCGACCTGAGCACGGAAAGTGGAAGCACGGAAGTCGTACTTGGCACCAATGGCAGTAGTGCCGTCACGGCTGGGACCACCCATGAGAGCAGCAGCGGCATTAGGCGCGAACTGGAGGTTCATGTCAACACCAGCCTCAACACGCTCGGAGAGCTTCTTCCAGTAGGAGGCGGTGATGACACCCTGAGCCTGCAGCTGAGCACTGGCAATCCAGTCGGCGGTCTTGTAGCGGGCACCGTAGGAGAGAGCAGATTCAGGACGAGAGTTCATGGCCTGGCGCTGCCAGATAGCCTCGAAGCCAAGAGCCAGGTTGGGAGTAACAGACTGAAGGTAGCTTCCGACGAAGATTCCGGTAAGACCACCCTCCAAGTAAGAAGGGTTGAAAGCCTTGAGAGACGCGGAGAAGTCGTCGCCGGTGTAGTCATTATCAAGCTGCATCAAGCCCTGGCCACCGGGCATGATCTGAGTATTGGTCTTGGTGACGAACTTGGGAGTCCAACGGTAGTTGCCGACAGCAGCGAGACCTCCATCGCTTCCGAGGTTGCCTTGCATGAAGACCTAGAGTTCCAACGAGAGTTTTTTAGTCACCCACACATGATATATATCTAGAGGTAAGATATAACAATTGCACCTTACCTTTGGACTTCCGTACATGGCGGAGAAGTTGTATGGGGGCATGTTGCCGGATCCGCCCATGGAGAAAGCGTGCGACACACGGAACAGAGGAGACATGCCGAAAACCTTGGTCAGGTCCGCCCGGAGACCGGTGAACATGAAGTTGGACAGCAGGACATCCTTCTGCACCTCCCGGGAGATGTTGTCCAAGGTGCCAGGGTTGGGAAGGCCGAGGGCGGCCCTGCGCTCGGCCAACGAGGTGTATGCATCCTTGAAGGCCGCGGCCACGGAATTGTCCGTGAGGAAGGAAGGCAAGGCTAGAGAGTCGGACATTATGAAGTCTGAGGAGATATTAAAGGTCGTTATACAGGACAGAAGAAAAACGGAGGGTGATCGTTATACGCGGTTCGACCTTGTTGGGGGAGGAAAGAGGAAAAGAGAAGAGACCTCGTTGAGACCAGCCCGGAAATTGAACCTGGAAAGGCGAAGAGCAACGTGAGGGATAACACGACGCTCTTGCTAATTGACGGGTAAAGGTTGTGTCCGACCTGCTCTGGGGGGTTGAGAGGAGGGAGGTTGAACACCAGGGCAGATGGATTGAGGGAGTGAGATGGATGAGATGGTGATGGGGAAGTTCAGTTTCCAGGCGTTCTTTCGACAGCCAGAGCTTTCGGCTTTGAAAAAAGTGACTGGCGCCTTTCCGCCCCGGCTGCGCTGGACTGTCGCTGTGCTGCGCCGTAGTTCCCTCAATTTAGTCTAGCCCGCTTCGGGCTGCGCCGGGATTGGGATCTTTAGTTTGGCCGGCGATGATATAATCCTCTGAGTTATCTAGTTCACTTGCTAACTAATTAGTTCATCTCTCTCAATTGATGAAGAAGGCGAGAAAGACAAGAAGAGATCCCATGACTCCCAGCATCTTCTTTTTTTTGGTGAATTGTTGTACTCAATTTGTCTTGACTCACAAACCCTTCCCCCATCTGTTTCTCTCTCTTTCCTCGGGGACAAGCAACCAATCGGGTGTAGATCGGTCTATAGTTTATACCACCGACGGTG